TATCATTTCTAGGCAGTTGACATGCAGCCATTACTCCGTGCTCGTCCAAGAGCCGGAGGTCGGTTTGCCCTCGCACAGAGCTCCCAAACCCGTGTTGGAGGCGTCCATGGTGTCCACCATCCTCATTGAGACTGTCCCCAAGCTTACCCCGGTCTCGTAAAAGCTAGGGTCTCTCCAAGGGGCTACGGCTCTGATGCAGCTGTGGTCCACCTTGACATAAAGGTGGCCTGAGCGCCACGCTTGGGAAGGGACCTGGGGTTTCAGCCAGTACTGCAAGTGGCGCATTTGTAGCAGACCCAGCGGAAGTACTGCTGATGCGAAGGCCATGAGGCCTAGCAGGTTGCGAGCTGCTAAAAAGTCTGGGCGGGCTCGTGTCTCAGCCAAGCTTTAATTTGGGCTGAGTCTATAACTGTAGACAGGAAGGAGATCCTCTGATTGGGGGACAGTGAGCTCTTGGCTGTGTTGATTCTGAGTCCCAGGCATTCCAAATGGGTGAGGAGCACAGATCTATGGGAATTCAATTCCACCTCTGACTGGGCCAGAACGAGCCAGTCGTCGAGGTAGTTGAGGAAGCACATTCCCTTCTGTCTCAGGGAGAAAAGTGCTGCACCCATGCACTTCGTAAAAGTGCGTGGAGCCAGAGACAGTCCGAATGGTAGGACTGTATACTGGTAGGCCGTCCCTTCGAACTCGAATCTCAAAAACGGTCTGTGACGGGGGGGCTATTTGTATATGAAAGTATGCATATTTCAGATCCACTGAGAAAAAACATTCCCCCGGGCGTAATAGCGCGAGGATTTCTTTGAGGGTTAGCATCTTGAACAGCCGTTTTCTTGCTGTGGGGCGGAGGAACTGTTTCCACAGCACCTTTTGCCATTAAGCTCATTACTTTGGTGCGGAGGACGTGAACCACATTGCTCTTCACCAATCCCGCCTGGCCAGAGGATGCGTAGGCGTAAGTCATCCTGCACGGCTTAGATGGATGAGCCACCTTGGATATCCATCCAATAGCAGTGGGTTGGCAAAGGTTCACAGTCACGGCTTCCTCTAGGGGGGGGCAGCTTCTCATATACCTTCTCCACAGTGCCGTCGATGGTCGAGAGCGTGGCAGAAGTAGAAGTGCGTAGGCGGGCCAAGTAGGGGGCGTGCCACGACTTTGTAAGTTCTTTGTGAACTTCAGGGAAGAACGGTGCAGATCGCTGACAAGGGGCCTGTTGGAGCCCCAGCAGGAACCAATCGTCCAGGCGGCTGCGTTTGGGCTCCTCAGGGGCAGCCCAGTCGAGACCGAGCTCTTCAACAGCTTTAGACAGGACGCGGATCAGCTCGGCGTCCAGTCCAGCTCTGGCGACGCTGCATTCTCTAGACGGCAAGGGGGTGGGGACATCCACTGAGCCCGACCAATCCTCTGCGTCCGAAGCCGCCAATGACATAGAGTCATTGTGAAGATCCTTTTCGGATCCACCGAATGAGACGAGACCGCTCGCATCAGATAGGTAAAAAGCACAGGCGAAATCTCTCTCTGTGGAGAAAGTGAGGCACGCGGGGTCTGAGCCGGCGTGAGCACTCTGCTCAACCCTCTGGCCCCGCTGTTTCTTTCTCCAAGGCTCGTGGGAGAAAGGAAACGGGAAGGCGTGAGGGGCGGAGATGCACTCTGAAAAGAATGCGATCCGAGAGCGGAAAGCTGACAGAGGCATGCTTTCGCAATGAGAGCAGCTTGTCTCTGTGAGTGAGGCGTCAGCGTGCGGGTTTGCCCAGGCAGGCGACACACTCGCTGTCCTTTTCATCAGGATGCAGAGGGGCTCTGCATGTCTGCATGTGCCACGACATTTGAAGCAACGTCACTTATGAATTTTTATTGAAATTTTTATTATTAGACCTTAACAATAGAGCACGTTCGCATCAGATTGCCGCTCAATCGCGAGTTACTGTCAGTACTAGGCTATAAGTTACTACAGCCTACAGTTTGCTAGCTAGCTATGTCTTGGTCAAGGAAATGCGTACTACCTGGATGCGATCACGTACAAAACGGATCGGTGTCCTTATTTAATTTTCCGAAAAACGATCACATCAAGAAGAGGATTAATTTTGTGAAGAGCCCCCTTGATGGAGAGCTGAGGATCACCGCCAACACCCATCTCTGTAGTGATCGTTTTACACAGGATAGTTTTATAAACTTTCATCTGAGACAACTGGAATTCACAGATAATCCGCTGTTACTGGTGAATGGGGCCGAACCGACTATCTCCCCCCTCGGCATTCATCCTCCAGCCCCGAAAGCAGTATCACGTAATATCACCGTCGGCAGCTTTCCCGCGAGTGGGCGTGGTTTCAGCGCAGCACACCCCCAGCGTTTGAGAGCAGAGAATACTGCTCATTTTTTCAAGATTTTGATAGCTTATTTTATTTACTTGGCGCCTTTTTTTAACATTCCAATTTGGCTGGGTGGCTAATAACACATTTTTCTGTGGTGTGACAAACTCAAAACACATACTTAATTTTGACTTTACAGGGACTTTAAATGTTCTTCCGACTGGTTGCCCACTGAAGCTACAGTAAGCAGGGTTGAGCCTGATCAGTAGGCTATCTGGATGGGAGACCTCCTGGGAAAGGTTGCTGCTGGAAGAGGTGTTAGTGAGGCCAGCAGGGGGTGCTGCTCACCGTGTGGTTTCTAATGCCCCAGGATTGTGATGGGGACACTATACTGTAACAAGCACTGTCCTTCGGTTAAAACATAAACTGATGTCCCAACTCTCTGTGGTCATTAAAAATCCCATGGCACTTCTCGAAAGAGTAGGGGTGCAACCCCGGTCCTGGTCAAAATCCCTTCATTGGCCTCCTAATAATCCCCCTCATTTGAATTGGCTCTATCACGCTCTCTCCTCTTAACCTATAGCTGGTGTGAACACGCTGTTCATTCGGGTGGATGCTGCACACTGGTTGTGGTTGAGGGAGACTCCTGATATGATTGTTTGGATGTAAAGCAGTATATAGTAAAGCGCTATATACACTCACCTAAAGGATTATTAGGAACACCATACCAATACTGTGTTTGACCCCTTTTCGCCTTTAGAACTGCCTTAATTCTACGTGGCATTGATTCAACAAGGTGCTGAAAGCATTCTTTAGAAATGTTGGCCCATATTGATAGGATAGCATCTTGCAGTTGATGGAGATTTGTGGGATGCACATCCAGGGCACGAAGTTGAGTTGAGATCTGGTGACTGTGGGGGCCATTTTAGTACAGTGAACTCATTGTCATGTTCAAGAAACCAATTTGAAATGATTCGAGCTTTGTGACATGGTGCATTATCCTGCTGGAAGTAGCCATCAGAGGATGGGGACATGGTGGCCATAAAGGGATGGACATGGTCAGAAACAATGCTCAGGTAGGCCGTGGCATTTAAACGACGCCCAATTGGCACTAAGGGGCCTAAAGTGTGCCAAGAAAACATCCCCCACACCATTACTCCACCACCACCAGCCTGCACAGTGGTAACAAGGCATGATGGATCCATGTTCTCATTCTGTTTACGCCAAATTCTGACTGTACCATCTGAATGTCTCAACAGAAATCGAGACTCATCAGACCAGGCAACATTTTTCCAGTCTTCAACTGTCCAATTTTGGTGAGCTCTTGAAAATTGTAGCCTCTTTTTCCTATTTGTAGTAGAGATGAGTGGTACCCGGTGGGGTCTTCTGCTGCTGTAGCCCATCCGCCTCAAAGTTGTGCGTGTTGTGGCTTCACAAATGCTTTGCTGCATACCTCGGTTGTAACGAGTGGTTATTTCAGTCAAAGTTGCTCTTCTATCAGCTTGAATCAGTCGGCCCATTCTCCTCTGACCTCTAGCATCAACAGGGCATTTTCGCCCACAGGACTGCCGCATACTGGATGTTTTTCCCTTTTCACACCATTCTTTGTAAACCCTAGAAATGGTTGTGCATGAAAATCCCAGTAACTGAGCAGATTGTGAAATACTCAGACCGGCCCGTCTGGCACCAACAACCATGCCACGCTCAAAATTGCTTAAATCACCTTTCTTTCCCATTCTGACATTCAGTTTGGAGTTCAGGAGATTGTCTTAGACTTTGATTGTACTTACACCCCTAAATGTATTGAAGCAACTCCCATGTGATTGGTTGATTAGATAATTGCATTAATGAGAAATTGAACAGGTGTTCCTAATAATCCTTTAGGTGAGTGTAAGTGCCTCATTCATTCAAATGGGTCACTGAACACTTGCATAATATTTGTGCAGTTCTAAACCAATTAACATAACATATTGAAAAGGAGATAAACAGAAGGGAATAGCCTACATCACCCATATAATATAATAAGCTCACTAATAATCCATTATTAAAACAAATTGCTTTAGCATTGTTTAGAACAATGAAAGGTAGTGACCACAAGAATACAAGTACAAGACAATTTTTCTACTGAGGCCACTAGAGGGGAGTGGGAGAAAGACATGAGTTTTGCTTTAGTATTCCCTGGCACTACTTTCAACAGCAGCAGACCACATAGCAGTCAGTGTTCAGAGACAATGGTCTGGGATTCAAGAATGATGCACAAAGACTGTTGGCCGGTTTCACAGACAAGGCCTAAGCTAGTCCCAGACTAAAATGCATGTTTGAGCTGTCTGAACTGAAAGCAACTTGCACTGACATCTTAAAACATGCCATTGTTTTGTTTCAAGATATTATTGTTTTCACATTTCCTAGGAAATGATCAGTCCATATTTGTGTCACTGTTATTTTATAGTGTTATTTGACAATTCATTGTATGTTATTATGTTAGAAGTGTCAATGGAAGGTGAATGTTTCCATATGAAAACGAAGCATAGTTTTAATATATCCATAGGATTTAACTGTTTAATTAAACTGCAGCCACAAACACAATAAACACACATTTACAGATAAGAACACTCACACTCACATATTGTAAGAATACAGTTTTAATTCAAAACATTAAAAACATTTATTCTTTTTTTTTTCCAGATGTACCATAACTTTACCATAGCTTTACAGACAAAACCTTTCTGTAAGGACAAAGTTATTTACCCTTAGTAAAAAATTCATTGCAAAGCATAGTGATGCAGGCGATCAGGGTGACGTACTCCTGGAAGTCCACAACACCATCAGCATTTGCATCCAGATCCTTAAATATCTTGTCCAGAGCTGTCTTGTCTTGGGTTTTCTTTAACACAACACACACAAAAGCGTAGTCAGAGACACGATCAGTAGAGTGATGAATCAAACGGCCCATATTTATTAGCTCAAAATATATTCATTATGAGAATTAATACAAAAGAATGAATCTTATTTATTTTTAAATAATGTTATTTATTTAATTAAAAATATATATTTTATTATAGAAAGAAGCGAATTTATGTCATAATGAAAAGAGAAATTATATTTTACATGGACAATGAAACGATTACGCAGAAACTCACTCCAAATATGTCTCCTAGCTCTGCGGTGAGCAGGTCCTTCAGCTCGCCTTTGCTCAGGGTCATCTTGTCTCCCTCTTTACCTGAGTATTTATGAAAGACTGCAATCAGCTGAGCCATCGCTTGCTGAGTTTCTGTGAAATTAGAGTGATACAAAATAGGTGCGCCATTAATAACAATAATCAAGCAAAGGCTATGTGTCCACAACATCCAAAATTATTAGTAGTGGAGATGTCAAAAATACACATATATGAAATGTCACGCCCAGCAACAGCATAACAAACGGTTAAAGTTACACCCCTCTGGAGTCAAACATTAGAAGGAGGAGAGAAGGGAGGGACCTGTAATTGTCTAAAGAGTGGGAGTTTTCAGAAAAGGGGGATTAAAAACTACAGTTTTAATCACGGCCAACACCCTGCACATACCCTTTAATTAAGACAGAAGTGAAAGATAGAAAGAAAGAAGGAAGGAAAGAGATCTACTCGATTTTGTCATTTTATCCACCACCAACTACGAAAATGGTAAAATTGACAAAAGACATATCTACCAAAAAATGATTGGTTGAAAAACATATAACAAAATACTGAACTAGCCTTCAAATCAATATCAGAAAATAAAGGCTGCAAGAATGCTTAACACATCAAATACAGCAGCAGTGCACTACATTACACTTAGTTCACATTAAGCAGATAGTAAAAAAATATAAAAGTCTCTTACGTGACATGGTGTAGCAGAAGTTCACGGTGAGCAAGAAGTGAAAGAAAAGTAGACCAAGCGAGTGAGGAATGAAGGGACAGATTGAGTGTTATATGCAGTAAAATGCCACACCCCCCGAATTCACCCTCCCACCCTCCCACCATTCCAACCCTTTACACACAAACACACCTACATTCACATCCCTCTCTCTTTTACTCTGCCCTATATGCTCTCTTATTGTTCATCCCCTTAAACCATTGAAATTCTTGTTTACATTGAGTTTGAAAAAAAAAGGAAGCAGGTTGGTTTGGCATCTCTTGTCCTTGTAAAGTCTCTAACTCAACTGGTTAAACCAGCTCCTAACTGCACACAAACAGCCTAAACCTTATACTTGAGCCTTTGGACAAATCCATTGTCAATACCCTCCCCTGACTGTCAGTGTAAGATGGGCGTATGAGAACCACTTTGGTGAAACTGGAATCACTGAAATAATCTTATAATGCAGAAATTATATCTAATAGTGATTATGTTAAAACTTATGTAGAATTTTTTTTAAGGCCTACTCACTTATGCATGCCTATGCATGTTTGCTGGTATACAAAACTGCTCAAGTTGAATGAAAATGTGACGAAGTCTTTAAACAAATACAGATGTATTTATCAAAATGACCATGCCCATATTTTTTTCTTTACGACTGGTAATAACTTTTACATAAAAACATAGATTGGTCTAATTTTAATCCAAAAAGTAAGAGTGATTACCCCAGGTCTAACTGCTAGTTGGTCTAGTTCTTAAGACACAGTCTTAACATAAAGGCTGGATTTATGCAATTGGCCTATCTAATTTTTCACAGCTAAAGGGCACAAGTTTAAACCATTAGGTAATGAAACCGCACACTGTATTTGTCATTAATCAGAAAAAGATGTCATGAATATACTGCTTTAAGTTGTGTTGCAATCATAACGGAGCTGCTCCAGCAGTCTTAACCAGCCCCGCATGGTTTAAATGCACAGGATTATTGTGATTATTAAAAACAACAGGAAAAAAGTGCAAAAAGTGCAAAAAAAAAGTATTGTCACCGGGACAGTATCCTCACCTTTGTACCTAATCTACCCTAAAGTGTACATATTAGAGTCTTAAAGGGACAGTACATCTAAAAATGAAAATTCTGTCATAATTTACTCATCCTCATGTTGTTCCAAAATTGTATGACTTTCTTTCTCTCTTTTTTTTTTTTTTTGTAGATACAGTGGAAGTCAGTGAGTGCCAATGTTGTTTTGGACCCCATTGACTTTAATTGACTTTCATTGACTTTCATTGAATGAACAAAAACAGTTCTTTACAATCTGCACTATCCCTTTAAGGTACTGATATCAACACTTTAGGAGTAGATAAGGTACAAATGTATTTCTTTGTGGGTATTGTCCTAATGACAAGATGTTGTACCCCTAAAGAGACAATAATGTACTTTTTTTTCTGACAGTGCACAGCCAAACAAAACTAGTCACACAAAATACTAAATAAGAGGAGAAATAAGGAATACTGTATAAAAAAAAGAGCAAAAATAGCATTCATTCTGATTTGAATGAATGCTAGATGGCACAGTATAATGTGTATCCTGTTTTACAGCTGTGATGCGGAAGCGTGGCCTTACACTTGTTGTACACTAGCTGCAGCTTTTATTTATAGCAACAAACTGCTGAAAAAGTGAATAAAGAAATAGATGGGAATAGAGAGAATAAGGGAAAAGGGGAGGGACATTGCGTCAAGCCAAAATAGTGAAAGTTCATGTGAAAAGCATTCAAAAGTACTGGTATTTCAGGACCAGTGACCGATTTAAAGACAGAGCTAGAAATAAGAGAAGTCAGGGAGGGAGAAGGGGGGGAAGTAGGCGGAGGAGATGACTGGCCTCATTTAACCTCTGTCTTTATGTAATAGTGATGGTGACTCATTCGAGTAGAATTTCAGCTTTTTTTTCTTGCTTTTTTTACCACAGTTGTTCTTTGTGCACGTTAATACATTTAACTTTTTTGGTGTGCTGTTTATTTCCCTTAAAGGGATAGTCCACTAAAAAACAGCAATTTTGTCATCATCTACTCACCATTCTTTAAAATATCTTCTTTTGTGTTCTGCAGAAGAAAGTCATACAGGTTTGGGATGACAAGAAAGAGTTGATAAATCATTTTCATTGGTGATCTGTTCCTTTAAATGAGTGAGAAACATACACACATGCTCACGTGTTCATACAAAGGCAAGTTTGATGCAGCAGCTGGGAGAAGACAAACAAGAGGTTGTGATTAAATCTCATGCACTATGTGGCCAGTTTCCTCGTGAGTCACCATCGAAAACATTCTCTGAGTAAGTGGGACCTCCCTGGCGCCATTTTGACCACGAGTGTTAGTTAGGGTCGGCTTCAGACTCAGTGTGTAAGCGTGGATGAGAACATGAGAGGACAGGACATGGCGGAAATACTTGTTGTGGCAGGAGGTTGGCCTTTCATTGAAGTTATGAATAAATGTGCACAAAAGCATGGTACAAACTCATTCACTTTTCATGTCAAGAAAAAAGAAGAAAGTTATTGTGTATAGATATGAAAACAAGACTTTCCTGCAAGTCAAAAGACATTATCTTTGCTCTGATTAGCTACAGTTGACATGAACCACTTATTATACTGTGTTGACATAGCTAGCATACAAAACACACACACACATCATGACAAACAAAATGAATATCCCTCCCCCTCCCCTTCCCATTCCTATATTAAATACAGACATCTGCATCACTAATGAGAACTTTAAGCAAAATTGGAAAAAGATGTTAGTTTAACAGAAGAGATTTATCTTTTTTCCTGCCATAATGAACAAGCAGTCTTTATGTCAAACACAACATGTTGAAACATAATTTTTTTAAAGCTCACACTAATTTACATAATATCTTAAGCTGCCTTTAAGAGAGACCTGATCAAGGTGTCACACAGGGAAGTTGGCAAAATGCCCTTTTCATAAAAGTTAGGTTGAGGCAAGTTTTAACGTAATTTAAATGTAAAAAAAAAACTATTTATGCAATTTATTAATTATATTTTTTTGGCCAAAAATGGTTTGATTCTTTAGTATGCTATTTTCTATGTGTTTGCTGTTTTGTGAATTATTTTGTATTTTATAATTGTTTTAGATTTGAAAGAAAGGGTTATGTTCTGTTTTTCTGTGTTTTGTGCATTTCCTTTGTTCTAGTTTTCCCGCCTGCATGTTTGATTACCGTGTTTGTTGCCCTGATTTCTGATTTGAGTCACACCTGTTTGGAGTTTCTTTGATTATCTCCATGTGTTTCATTGCCCTTTGTTTTCACATTATTTGGGTTGTTACTTATCCTTGTTTTGTTTCCCCGAGTATATGAAGTGTTATTTTGAGTTAAAGAATATTCTGCTGTGCTCAAATCCTGCCTTATGTTTTCCGTGTTTGCAACCCAGCGTGACATAAGGTTTGTGCCTAAACATAACCCTACCTTGACGAATATTCAGTGTGACAACTAGTCAACACTTGTATTTCTTATCCTGTAGTTCTCTTCAATGAGAGCCATTTCCCAGAGTACCAACTAAAAGGAGATCATTGCATGAATTCAGATCAGCCTAACAATTCAAACAATGATGATTGTAAAAGAAAAAAGAGTACCATCCGATCAGCTGCAAAGGGAAGCACAAAGTGACTTCTTTCATCACAAGTTAATTACAGAGGGGCTGCTTGTGTGACTCAGACAGTTATCTAAAACATTTCTAATAAAGCCCTATGAAGGGAAGCATCCAACCATGTCACGCAGCTGTGTGTGTGTGTGTGTGTGTGATGAGGCCTGGACTGGTGTGAATTTTAGAGGTATCAGTGAGTTCTCTTACGAGAGGTTCTCTCGTATTGCGTAAGTTTAGCTTACGCTACGGGTAAAGTTCATCTTTGCTCGAGATATTGAAGACAAAATTATCCTTAATTTTGTATTGTCAACGCAGTGCAGCAGATGCAGACCTAGAACAGGCTGTCTAGCGTGCTCATTGGCTGCCTTGCGGCAACTGCAGCAGCCTACCAGTGAGCCTGGCGTGACGTCATGCCCAATGGTGGCGCTTCGCGCCCACTACGCGTCACAGTCCGCGCAAAGGGGTGTGGCTTAGCGTGTAAAAGTGGGGCTCAGAGGCTGCTTCCCTGATTTTTCATCTCTTCAGCGAAGCTCTTCATTTCCGCTGGATCTGAGAGAAGCCACCGCCGTCGAAACCAGTGACTGCCAGCAGAGGAAAGCGCCTGAGGAAGCCGGTCGACTTCTCGCCGCCTTCAGCCTTTCCGAGCCAGCAACGCTATCCGGCGACATATATCCTTTTCTGCTCTTGTCACTGTTATTACTGTGTCTGTGTGTGCTCGCCGCTGCGACAAACACTGTTACTAATTTACTGTTACTTTTAAGAATGCCTCGCACGTCCTGTGGCTCGTGCCGAGCCCCTCTCAGCGCCGGAGACCGCCACGTGATTTACGCTCTCTGCCTGGGCCAGGACCACGCAGCCCTCGCACTTTCGTCAGGAGGCTGCATGCACTGCGAAGGGCTGTCCATGGCGACCCTTGTTCAGGGCAAACACTCCATCCCCTAAGTGGAAGAAGCGGTAGCAGCGCACCTTTGCCCGCCCTCCTCTGGATGGCGCTCAAAGTCTGCGCTCCCCTCTAAAGCCTGCAGGACCACATCAGCTCTCGTCGGCCGCGCCTTCTCCGCCGCCGGACAGGCTGCTTCCGCCCTGCACTCTATGGCTGTTCTGCAGATCCTGCAAGCCGACCTCCTCCGCGAATGGGACGAGAAGGGCTCGGATCTAGCTGCGATCGCTGATTTAAGGAGCGTGACGGACCTTTCCCTCCGTGCTACAAAGACCCAGCTCAGGCCATCGGCAGATCCATGGCTGCGCTAACCGTCACAGAGAGGCACCTCTGGTTGACGCTCGCAGACATGAGGGAGTCTGAGCGTGCCACTTTCCTCAACGCGCCGCTCTCCCCTACCGGTCTCTTCGGCCCAGCGGTCAACGGCATCGTGGATCGCTTCTCCGAAGTACAGAAGACCTCGCAGGCCATGAATTTGTTTCTGCCACGACGCTCTAGCTCAGCCACAGGCCGCTCACGTGCTAGCCGCCTGCTAGAAGCT